AACCCAGGGCCTGCTGTGTACGTACACGACTCTTGTTCTTCCTGTGTGGGGAAATCGCAGACTTACAGAGTGACGGTTCTGGGCAAAGTCCCATTTTGGCACTTGGGATGCTCCGTGGTAGCAGAGAAATACTGGCACTGTCTCCGGGGAGCCCACTGGGCAAGCCGATGTAGGAAGCAAAACCTGAGGTGTGGAAAGCAGGCTTCATGACAGGCAGTGGAAGCGAAGGCTAAAAGAGGCATGTGTATGGAATTGATGAAGCTGGTTCCACGGACGGACAGAGCCCTCACTTTTAAGTAAAGGAAAGGTACAAATTTGCTTTGCCAAAAGGTTTGTGGTGTAGGCTGGGAGATGACTCACAGCAAAGTGCTTGCCATGCAGGCATGAGGACTTGAGTTCAAATCCCCTGTGGAAACGTGAACAGACGTCTTCTCAGCCCAGGTAGGGAACCAAGGTAAGGAGAGCAGTGAAGTCCAACTTGGTGAATCAATGAGCTATACTGCAGTTACCGGAGCAGAAGTGACAGACAGCCGCCATCACCAAAAGCCTACCCCAGCAATAGTGACAGCTTGTTTAATCTCCTTCCTCCGGGGAGCTTGGTTGATCTGAGCTGGTCTCTGGGCAGTCTTTACAGCCTAGAGAAGCTTGAGGAAGGAGTGGCCTAGTGAATCAGGCGGTTTCAGGGCTTCCTGAAGCTGTCATTTATGTCCAGTTCAATAAATCTCTCCTCCCTGGCTTGGTGGCACACACCTTTAATTGCAGCACTTGGGAGGCAGAGGCAGGTGAATCTCTGTGAGTTCCAGGCCAATCTGGTCTCCAAAGCAAATTCCAGGACAGCCAGGGCTACACAGAGAATCCCTGACTTGAAACAAAAACCAAACAGACAAACAAAAGAGGTTTTCTGTAGGAGAAAGCTGCCGCACGTGTGAGAGGCTGGTGGAGCTGCACCAGCGTTCCCTGTGCAGGGGAGGTAAAGGCAGAGCCGGGCCTCGCTGGCCAGTCAGTCTAGCCAGTAAGTGAGCTCTAGGTTCTGTGAGGAAGACACCTGACTCTGTCTTCTGGCCTCCACATGCACAGGTCGTGACTGCTCAGGGAACCCTCCAGGGGATGGAGCCTAAGGATGTGTGCTGGGAGGTGGTGTCGTCACGCCAGGGTCCTGACTCTGGGGAGTCCTTCAGCCCCAACTGAGCCTGCAGCCCACTTATCCACCTGACACCCTGCTTTACCCATGATCGGCTTTGAAAATAACCAGCATTCCCTGCCTCTCTGGCTTGGCTAAACCAGAAAACCCTGGTAAAACTCAGGCAGTCAGTCCTGTGGCCCCCGTATCCAGGTTGCTTCCTCCTTGGACCCCCTTCTTGTTGTGGAGTCAGACTGGTCTAACTCAGAGCCCTTTCCCTTCGGCCTCGGGAGCACTGAGATCACAGGCCCAGTGTGCTCAGTGAAGCTAGCCTTCTGATTATTCCATGACTCTGCCTCCGTCTTAGGCATGCCCCTGTTGGAAAGCAGGAACAGCTTCCCGTCTCCACTCCCGTGTGTCCTCCAACTCCTCCTCACCTGTCATTCCAAATGATCTGTCCCTGGCCTGGCAGAGCCCCCACTTCAGGTGAACCCCTTCTGCAAGGACCCTACTTTGGAATCAGTCTCCTGTCAGCATGTCAATCGCGCATTCTGCCGGACCAGACATGGTAGTAGACACGGTAGTAGAACAGCAGCGCTGTCTCAGAACCAGGTGTCAAATCCCATTCTGGCCTCGCCCTCGCCAGCTTCTCCCTTACTGAAACCCCCCAGCCCAATCACTAAGCCCCACCGGCATTCCTCAGTTGTACAGTGACCACCTCCATCTATCTCCCTGGACTCTGATTCTTCCTCAGTTCGCAATCGCGTGCCTGGAAGCCAAGGCCTGTTTGTCCTGTCCTGGAGACAGCTCGAAACTGCCTGCAACCAGCTTGCAACCAGCGCCCTGCAAGGGAAACCTTAACCTTGAAATCAGGAACGACATTGCTGGCTTTTTTTTTAATTGATGTGTTAGTGCTTTGTTAGTTGTGGCGTGTGTACGTGTATGCACACGTGTTGGCCGGGAGTCAGCATTCCGAGTGTCTTCCTCAAGTTGCTCTCCACCTTCTCTCTCCCCGAACCACCACCACCCTCTGTGCTGCCTTAATTTTTAAGACAGGGTTTCATTGTGTAGCCCAGACTGGTCACAAACTCTAAATCCCCCCTCTCAGCCTCTTGAGTGTTGAGATCACAGGGAAAAGCCAACAGGCCCAGCCTGAATTTGCTTTAGAAACAGGTTCTTGCTATAAAGCAAGGCTAGCCAGCCTCAAACTTAAAATCCTCTTCCCTCAGTCTCCTGGGTGCTGAGATTACTGGCATGCCCCCTCCCTTCCCTCTGCCTTTAGTGACTGGCATGCATTCTCAGAGCTCTGCCCTCTTTTCAGACCTCCCGTCCTCACTTTCCCAGTCACTGTAAAGGACAGTGCCACCTTCCTTGGGCTCAGGGCCTAGCCAGGAGGTGGGGAAGCCCTGATACCAGTCCTATTGCCTCAAGGCTTTGGACCTTTCAACCTGGCTCACCCCTCACCTTCTGGCCCCCCTTTCAAGCATCCCCTACCCCTGGTTTTTGGTCATATTGATCCCTGGTCAATAAGGCTGCCAGGTAATGAGTGTATTCTGCCTACTTTGTCTCCCTCTGAAGACGGATACCATCTACCTGCCTGGCTCCCAGCTATGTTCCTTAGCAGGCGCAGTGTGCTGAAGCCTTGCTGCCAGCCTGTGGCCTGTTTTGAACTGGACATGAGACAGGAGCTTGGGTTGCTAGCCTCCAGCAAGAGCTTGCCTGCCGGTGAACTCAGCCCCAGGCCCGAGTACAGAGGTGTAGCATGGAGCGACCAACCTGGCTTCATCAGCCAACTAGAGTAACAATGGAGGTGTGGGTCAGACCCCGTGATGGCTGTAGAGGTGTGGGTCAGACCCCGTGATGGCTGTAGAGGTGTGGGTCAGACCCCGTGATGGCTGTAGAGGTGTGGGTCAGACCCCGTGATGGCTGTAGAGGTGTGGGTCAGACCCCGTGATGGCTGTAGAGGTGTGGGTCAGACCCCGTGATGGCTGTAGAGGTGTGGGTCAGACCCCGTGATGGCTGTAGAGAAGGGTTTGGAAACCCAAATTGGGAGGAGAGTGCAACAAAGAAGGCTAGGAAAGCCTTCCCTGAGGCCAGCCCTGGGTTCCATGTGGGCACCTGGTTGTCACAAGGACCCAAGTCCACGTGAGAAAGGGGATGGGATCTGGAAGCAGAGCAGGAGAGACAGCACCGAGGAAGGACAGCAGCGGTTTGTGAGTGGTGAATTCCCCAAGACCTCATGTACACTAGGCAAGCACACGACCACTGACTTCGTTTTATTTTGATTATATGTCTGTGTAGAGAGTTGGCCATAAGAGTTCAGGGGCCAAACAAGGCCAGAGAGGGCTTTAGATCCCCTAGAGCTGGAATTAAAGGCAGTGTCTGTGAGCTACCTAACATGGGTTTTAGGAACAAAATCCCAGTTCTCAACAAGAGCCACTGAGCCATTTTTCCAGCCAACTTTTATATATTGTTTCACATGAGGGTCCAACTCCTCGGTTGCCCGCACTGGCCTTGAACGCACTCTGTAGCCTAGGCAGGTCTTAAACGTGTGATCTCCTGCATAGCTGAGGTGAGCCTTGAGCCTCCAGGCCTTCTGTGGGAGCATGGTTTAACGCAACGAAAGGGGGCTGGGACCAAAGCACGGGTGGAGAGGAGGTCGGCCTACAGTCTGCTGGGTGACAAAGAAGTGGGATTGTGGGGCACAGTGGGTACAGGCTGGGGTATGGCATGTTCCTAACCCAGGGATGGGACATCCCAGCCCAGAGTAATCACCTCGCCAAGGCTCCCACCGGAGCACCCAGTGTATGCCACATACACGGTGACGTTTGTGTGGACATCAGACCATCCATCCACCGCAGTTCCGTCGTCTAGATCTTAGTGATGAACCTTTACACTACTAGGCTGGTTGCACTGGCACCACTAATGATCCGTTCCTGAGACAGTTCATGTTGGCTTAGCTGCCAGCCTGGCAGCTTCCATGCTGGAACTGACATCTCTGTAGTGGGGAAGCAGGGGCTGGAAGGTGAGTGCTGAGCTCCACCTCCATTGGGACTTTTTGGCAGACAGCAGTGTGTCGCTAGAGGAAAGGATGTGTTGAGAACTCCGCACCAGTTCTCACAAAACCCAAAGGAACAGTGCCCCTTCCTTCCGTCGAGGCATGGCCATAATTCAAATGGGCTCTAAACCAGTGAGAGACACCCCGGGGATTGGTGGAGCTAGGGGCTGGCTCTGGTGCTGAGAAGCCTCCCTCTTCCCACAGTGATGGTGGCCACGCAACAGGAGATGAATGATGCCCAGCTGACCCTGCAGCAGCGTGACTACTGCGCCCACTACCTCATCCGGCTGTTGAAGTGCAAGCGGGACAGCTTCCCCAACTTCCTGGGGTGCAAGCATGAGCAGCATGACTGGGACTACTGCGAGCACCTGGAGTGAGCCCGCCCTGCACCCCCACCACAGGCACCCACACATGGGCACAGGGAGGAGGCTGCAGTCATCTGGGAGGGGACACCAAGCCAGGATTTACTGGGGAGCCTCGTCCTAGCAAGGGTTTCCTGGTGGCTGGGGATAGAGTCAGGCCAGGACCTATGGCACTGAGACCCTGTCTGTTCTGCCCACAGCTATGTGAAGCGGATGAAGGAATTTGAACGTGAGCGGCGACTGCTCCACAGGAAGAAGCGGAGGGAGGAGAAGGCAGAACGGATAGCCCAAGGCCACGGAGAAGGAGAGGTGGGCCCGGAAGTGGCCCTCTAGGGGGTCACCCACCTGCCTGTGGACCTGTCAGTGAAATAAAAGTTTTGGGTCACCTGAACAGCCTTGGTCTGCACTGCTCAAGGGTGGGAAGGAACAGTTCCCCGCATCTCTACAGAACACAAACAAGTCCAGCTGGGTGAACAGGTTTATTGTCGCTGCTGGAGAGCCACGGTTACCCTGGGGCAGTGGGGCAGTGGGCAGAGTGCTACTTGGCTGAACCCGTGAAGAACTGCTCAGAGCAAGAAAGGGATTATGGGCATGCGCAGGGGTGGGTAGTCACGGAACTCCTTCAGGTAGCTGCGGTGCTTGCCCTTGGCCCAGATAGTCATCTGGGTGAAGCCCACCAAGGAGAAGAGGGCCACTGTGGACAAAACAGGGTATCAGAATAGGGATGCCCAGCCAGAAGGGTAGGGCACTGCACGGGTACAAGGGACTCACCTGGAACACACTGTGTCATGATGGCAAAGCCGATCCAAGACCCCACCTGTGGACAGCACAATCAGGGTGGGGCACAGAGGGAAGCCCAGGGTCATATGTATCTCTGGGCAAGGAAGGCAGCAGTGGCCCCAGACTCAAGCTTCACTTCTCCCCACGACCCACCCAACCCTGGGAAGACGAAGGGAGTCAGTCCTCACCTCATAAGTGTAGTTGGGACAGGACACCAGCAGAAACAGCCAGGTAAAGGGGTTCTTGGTGGGGTAGGGGATCTTCCTGGTTTTGGACCCTGGCATGCAGAACAAGGGTAAGTCAGATGCCTCCCCAGCCCCAGCCCCAGCCCCAGCCGGCCACTCACCAGCTGGCCGCAGGTCCCGAAGAGCCATGTGGATGGAGAAGTTGCCGAGCTGGCAGATCTATCAAGGAGAACAGGGTCAGTCCAGAGCCCCTAGGCTCACCCCACCCGGCCACCTCACCTCACCACACTTGGTTTCCGCCCCAGCCTCTTTACCACAAAGATGGTCAACGCCAGCTTAACCTGCTGGGCTCCGTAGGCTGCAGAAAAGGCAGGAAGAAGAGCCCCATAAGACGAAGGTTCATGACGGGGCACAGGGCGAGGGCACTGTCTGGCTCCACTTACTAGGGGGTGTGTAGAGAGGGTGGTTGATGTAATAAGCCATCCATGCAGCAAAGCCCCAGTAGTAGGTACAGTTCTGAAAGAGAGCAGCCGAGTTAGCCTGGGGTGGGCAGGTGCTGATGGGGGCAGGGCCACAGAGTAAGGATGCTCACTTTGAAGATGTTCCGCAAAGGCATGGTTCCGTGAGAGAAGCGGTGCACAAAGAGTGTCTCCAGCAGTCGCTTGATGTAGTGGAACGAGTGGCAGATGCAGGCGAGGCTGGGGGGGGGGGGCTGACTCAGCTGGGGTTGATCCAGCCCTCCACTCTCCCACCCTCTTCTGGGCTCTACTCACTGCACCACCGTGTGCCGACTGGATGTGAAGTCATATTTGTGGCCATAAATGAACGGTACCCGGAAGTAGAAGAGCAAGTAGATGAAAAGGGGCCCAGCATACTCAGTCAAGAAGACCTGGGGATACCCAAAGACAAGGTGAGTAGCCCTAGGGCAGCTGGAGGCAGAGACCAGGGAAGGGGTCAGGGCTCACCGTCACCCAGCTGATCTGGGCCCCCAGGTCCCGGAAGAAGAGTGTGGCTGTGGTGCCCACAGGAAGCTTCTGCAAGACATCTTCATCTTTCAGGGACTTTCCCTCTACAGAGATCAGTCAGTATTCAGGTGCTGCCCTGGTTTCCTGACCCCACGCGCCCAAGGGAAAGGCTGCTGGACAGCTGTACTCACTGGGGTCCAGGCGGAGGGACTGGCGGGCAGGGTACCACTGCGGATCTGCTAGGAGAAAGTGAACGGTTGCAGCACCCAGTGTGCCTGGGTTCAGCCTGCCTCTCAAGATTCCCAGAACTCTGGGACCCTGGGCTCCTTCCACCCTGTGCATGGTGGACATGCAGGGCCAAACAGCAATAGGATTTTGTCCTTTGGATAACACAAGAGCATTCCTGCTAGCGGCCACACGGGGGCACCTGCCCATTAGGACGGGCCCTACTCGCTGCTCCACTGTGCTGACAGGATGGTATAGAAGTATGGGGTTCAGACTCACGTGTCCTGGTGAAGAGGTTCTTGATTTCAGCAATGGTGGCCTGAGGCTCCACCTGACAGGAAACAGGGTAGAGCCCTAAGAGAGCCTAGACCCATGATCTGGGGCAGGGGTGCCAGGCACAGGCAGGTCCCAAGCCGGCTGGCTTCAGTGGGGTATATCTGGCTTCCACCTCCTTTACAGACACAGGGCCCTTCCACGCTGCCTTGTCCCTTCCCCTACCAGGCAGCCAGCTTCCAGCCCATGCAGGGGCCACGAGCCAGCTTCCAGCCCATGCAGGGGCCACGACTGCTCATGGTTCTCAACCATCCTAGTGCTGCGACCCTTTAATACATGTGGTGACCCAACCATAAAATTATTTGTTTCTTCACAAGTGTAATTTGCTGTGATGAATCATAATGTAAATATTTGATATGCAGACTATCTGATAGGCAACCCCAAAGGGGTCAAGACCCACAGGTTGAGAACTGCTGCTCTAGATGAAGGTAATACCCCTGCATGCCCTCTGAAGGACAAGGGGACCACAGCCCTACAGCTTTGAGGAACCGGAACGCAGGCTCTTGGCACATCACCACAGGGCCACAGTCCTACCTTGTCCAGGAAGCACAGCTTCTCCCTCGTCTTCGCGTCCAGAATCTCCACCTCGAAGAAGAGAACCGCCTTTTTATGCTTCTTGGCTACCTTGTGGGGCATGGGCATGGGAAGACCATCGAGGCCCTGGTGGGCCTCCTTGGACACCATGCTCAAGCTGATATCCATGCCACTGCCGGCCCTACTTCTCTGCCTACCAGGCTGTGATGCCCACTGCCAGCCGCCAGCCCCCACCTCCGACCTCCCCTCACAAAGCTGCTCTGAGCTGGGCTGGGCAGCATGATCAAATTCTGCCGCGGTGCTGGAAGGAAGCCTGTGTCTGACCAGGCCCAGCCAAGCGTCAATGCCAGATGTAACCCGAGTGGCACCAGGGCCTAGCCCGGCTAAATATAAAACCATCCCAGCCGAGTCCCCCAGAGGAGCCACACCACAGTCCTCCCCTGGGGGCTACACTTACAGAGGAAGTTGAGTGGCCACAGACCCTCAAAAGTGCCAGGGGCAAGATCTCCCAGAGAAGGAAAAGAGTCCACAGCCTGTGCAGGGGTGGCTAGCCCAGTCCCAGTGCCCAGCTCTGGCTGACGGGTTACTAGGCCTGGGGAAATGCCAGCTATCCTGAGAATCTGTGAGAGAGATCACCCATTTCCACTTCTAAGCTGTAAGGGACACTGGATTATGTCCCTTGTGCATTTGTGTTGCCAGGGAGGTGACAAATTCCAGAGTCACTGGTGCAGTCCCATTCCTAAGTATGGAGAGGAAAGAGTGAGCAAAGCCCTCCACCCCCTCTACCCCCTCCACCCACCTCCTCACACACGTGGTTCAAAACCAGCTGCACAGCAGTCTGCCCATCAGGCCAACACCAATGTGCTCACCCGAGATGAGTCCTGCTCCAAAGCCTTCAACACACAACCCAGGCCTGCCTGTACCCCTGGGGTCTGCAGCCCCCAAAGGAGAAGCCCTAGGCTAGAGCTAGACAGTGGTGCTAGGAACGGAGTAAAGAGACAGCCCCCAGGGGATCTGAGCCATCTGCCCCAGAAGGTCAGAGAAGGCTGCTGGCATGATGTTTTGCACTGCCCATGCTGGCTGGGAGAGGCCTGAGGGCCCTGAGGGGATCTGCGACTTCTCCTCCTGAAGGAGAGGGCATCACAGGCCAGAGAAGCTGGCCACTGTCACCTTCATGCTCCCAAGAGCAAAGGCCAAGACAGAATCCTAGGACCTGTCCTCAGCCTGGCCTGCTAGGGGTCCCTCAGAGGATGTACATGGACCAATATGGTGCTGGCACAAGGGAAGTATGTGCGTGTGCGCATGTATATGTAGGAAGGCCCCATGGAGGTGACCCTACACAGTGAGGTAGCCCTATAGAGCCTGGGTCTGAGTTCAGAGCAGGGCTCCTATGCCAGCCAGTGGTGCCCAGGCCTGCTTGCCCATACATGCCATGCTACATCATGGACACAGCACAGAGATCACGTGCTATCAGCTGCAAACTGCCTCACCCTGTGGACTGAGGGGCAGATGACTGCACCCCACAAGGAAAATACCAGATTAAGAGCTGTCATACACTGGGACCCCACTAAAGAGAAACAAGAGGGAATGAGAACGTGAGGAATGAGCTGGAAGGGGCTAGGTGGCAGGGCCCTGGGCTGCAGGTGTATTAATAGTTGCTGGACCCCATGAGCACAATGCACATGCTCGGAGTCCATGTGAATCACAGGAAGGCGGCACAATGTCCACTGGGAGAGAAGGCCACAGAGTTCTTGCTGAACCACTCAACAGCTTAAAATACAACCAGCCCCTCTCCCTACTGGGCCAGCTGCCGGGGAGGGCTGAAACCCTACTCTCCCCTAGCTGGGGCTCTCTGCATCAAGGCCAGGAAGCCTGGTGCACCAACTGGCTACAAGTGGGTGGCAGGACAGCCGCATGGAGAGGACCACACTGAGCAGCCACCCCAAGCCACAAGGAGAGGAGCTGCCTGAAGCAGGTGAGTCAGGGGCCTCCCCGTCCTGCTCAGATACCACAGCCGCCTTCTCCCAGCGAGCCAGAGGTCATTCTTGCTGAGTTTTTTTCAACTCCCAGAGTCTCTAAAAGGATTTCAAATTCAAAAGTAAGATAAAAGCTATGTTAAGTACAGCAAGGAGGTTGGCTGGGTGAAAAAAGCCAGACTTTCAGGTTCAGAGTGGCCAGGACCAGACCAGGGCAGACAGCAGCCTGTTGGTGTCCTGGGGCAGCAGGAGGAGATGCTAAAGGACACCTGCTCTTTGTGGGTGATGCAAAGGTGTCCCAGTCACAGAGGTGGGGCTGCACAATGAAATGTGCTGACGGCCATGGTTGTGCTTTTGGGGTGGGGTGGTACTCAAGTGAGAAAGGGTCTGACTCTAACCCAGGATGGCCTTAAACTCAAAATACTACCTCAGCTTCCCAAGTGCCGGGGGACTGGCTGCCTACCACACCCCCCTGAACTGTGCACTTTTATTTACAGTCACAGGAACCCCCTCCGAAAGCTCTGGGACTGTATGTAGGGGCTCTCACAGTGTGAGGAGATACTATACCACCTGAGATACACCCCAACCCCTCCGAAAGCTCTGAGACTGTACGTAGGGGCTCTCACAGTATGAGCAGATACCGTACCACCCGAGTTACACCCCAACCCCCACAGACAACAGACAGGCAAAGTGTTCAACAACAACAACAACAAAAAAAAAGACAACACAGCTCCAGGGTTGTGGTCTCCAGGTGGGGGTCTCCCCTCTCCAGACGGAGACTGGGGAAAATCTATGTGCACCTCTTAGACCATGGTCCCCACACCATTCCTCAGCCACTCCCACCCCTGTCCTACACCTCTCTCTCTCTCTCTCTCTCTCTCTCTCTCTCTCTCTCTCTCCCCCTCCCTCCCTCCCCCCCCCCCCCCCCCCCCCCCCCCTGTCCTGCACTTCTCTCTCCCACCCCTGTCCTGCACCCCTCTCCCTCCCTCTCCCTCCCCCCCCTCACACACACTCACACACACACACATGTACACACACAGGCCAACCTAAAGTACAACCCTGAAGGGCATCCAGGTCTGGGGTCAGAGAGCACAGCAGGGTACTGAGAGGTGCCCCAGCCAGGGGTCCTGAACCCTGAAGGCAGGCAGCCAGCAGGCTCTGGCCCCTCCTGGGGAGGAAGCACCACAGCTGAGCTAAGGAAGGGAACCCTATTAGAGAGCTACAGATAAGGACAGCCCAGAAGGAAAACCTGAGTCCCCAGGCTGGGGGACCCCTGCTGCTGAAAGCACAATGGACAGGGTCAAAGACAAGGGCAGGAGCCCTGGCACAGGGCACCTGATGGTTCTGCGCTGACAGTTCCACTAGTCTGTGAAGAATTCTCACCCAGAGACTGAGATAACAAGGCCAGGCCCAGCCAAGAGCAATTCCTGCTAGCCCAAGGTCAAGGACAGCAAAGCAGACAGAGAGGCAGGGAGCAGACCACCCTAAAGGATGGGGGCAGGGGCGGGGTGTGGTGTGGTGTGGTGTAGCAGGCCTTGGCACTCCACTGTGTGGCAAATGGAGGTTCCTGGTTCTGAGACTGGGAAGCAGTACTCATGAGGTGGTCCCAGCCTGGCAGGGCACCGCAAAGGCAGAGAAGCCTGCTCTGCATCACCACCGCAGGGCTCCCACCTCCCTCCTCAGGCTAGTGGAGACGTCTCATCCCACCACCAGTTTTCAAACAGCAACCCCACCAGGCACAGTGACACACGCCTATGACCCCAACACTCAGCAGATAGACTCAGGATCAGCAGTTCAGAGACAACTCTAGCAACGTACCAAGTCTGAGGTCAGCCTGAGCTACATGAGACCCTGTCTTCAAAAAATATTGTATGGCTGCAAGTGGTACTCTAGTTCCTATGTGACCCACCGCCCCCTTGCAGTGTGCTCAATAAACTGTCCTGGGCCTGGCTGTCATTTCCTAGCACCCACAGTGGCCGCAGGTGGAGCAGAGCTCAGCAATAACCCCTCACAGCTCCCGCCACTCCTTCACCTCTCCAGGAGGCTTATTCTGTCCCAGACCACATCAAAGGCAGCCGTGTGGGATGAGCCCCTGCTCCCTGGATGTTTCTGAGCCTACACAGCACTCTGAGCTACCAGCCCTTACACGCCTGGCTCTGAAGTACCCTGCACTGACAGAACGGGTCAACTCACCAGGCTCCAGCCCTCAAAGAAATATGGGTTATCCCTCAATGGTGACCCAAGAGCTGATTAGGCTCTGCATAGCCTAGAGGTGGCAACACACACTCCCTGGGCACTGAGCTTTAAAAAGACCACTTCCCAGCTATATGGCCCTTGACAAGCTATCCACTTTTTCAGCTGCAGGGGAGGGGGGCTCTCTCTCCAACTGCCACCTCCCATAGTTAGCATAGGAATTGGAGATAACAAGAAAAGAAGAAAGAAAAGAAAAAGAAAAGCACAGAAACATTTAACATCTTCCATCTAGAATAAATGCTACCAGAACACTGGGCCAGGCTTGGTAGCACATGTCTATACTCCCAGCACAGGGAGGAGAGGGCAGAGGATCAGAAAATGGGAGGCCATACCAAGACTTTGTCTCAGAAAAAGAGAAAACACACAAGAATATCATATAATTGGATTGCTGTAGCAGAACAGTGGCAGACACAAGGGAGCCAAGGTCAGAGGATTGAAAGAATTATGCCCCACCCAGCTGGTGGCAGTGAGAGGGAAAACAAGCCACAAGGGGCCATGTGGGGGTAGGAGAGGAAAGGGGGCGGTGACAGCCAGTAGAGGCAGCAATACTTTCCACTGCCCCCTTGGCCAACAGGTGGAAGGAGAAGCCAGCATACAGTCCTAACCATTATGGTCAAGTAGGCTGGGACCCACACAGCCCCAAGCTCACTCTACTACCAGTTGCAGCAGAGAGACCTTGGGAAGCCATCGCAGCCTCCCTACTCTCTCCCTCCCAGGGCCTCGGGACAGAACAAACACTTCCAAGTCTTTCCCTCACTTCTCACTTCTAGGAAGCAGGGTCAAGGGGAAGGACAAACTGCAGCAACTTGTGTTGTCACCAAG